CACTTTTGTAATACGATCTACACTTCTGAATATATATATATATATATATATATATATATATATATATATATATATATATATATATATATATATAATACCCTGACCTTTTATAATACCCTGACCTCTACAACTTCTAACAATCATTAGCATCTAAAACATGATAATCCATTACTGAGACAAGTTGTACTGCCTTAAAGATATAATATGTTGTTCGCAAAATCGGCACATTTCTTTGTCTTATATTTTATTTCCTTAGTCAAAGACGGCGTGCACGAATCATCAGTGATCACATCCATAAGTAGCGTAAACAGATATGTAAATGTCTAGACGAAGTGGCTATTCACAAGGCTCCGTCTGCGTATTGTGGATGCATTTTTGGGATAGTAGCCCTCCTTAGACCGTCTAGTACAACCCCCTTCCCCCTCCCCCTCCCAACCTGCTCTTGTCTATCTTTTTGTCATTTTGATATCATGAATGAGTCCTTACCAACTGGTACGAGAGCATTTAGACAAGAACATCAAATACATGGTAAGAGGACAATTCAGGAAAATAAGATTGAACTGAGTCAGTGAAACAATATACCTGTTAAATTTGGGTACATTTAAAGCTTGGCGTTTTACAAGTCTGTACACTTCTCTCATCTGCCACGTTTCGCTACACAGACGGTAGGACAAAAGAAGAAACAATAATCACAAAGTGTGCGCCGGATATGGAAATGTGCCCATTAATAACACTTACTTTAGACTTACTGAATTAGGAATTTATATTTTCTGTTAGCGAAAAGCAGTCGACTATTGTCATAGAAACAAGAAAAGAAGATTTCGGCTAAAGTTAATTATCAAGAAGAAAACAAAACCACTCATTCTCTTCGATTTAGACCTATGCAATTTACGACCATCCCCCGCTTTTGACCACAAAAGAAAAAAAAAATAAGACACTAAAACTAGTATAATAAAAACTAGTATAAAAAAGAAAACAAAAACTACATTGGTAGGGCCAACATGTGTCCCAATCTGGTGCCTAACGTGTGTTTTAAGTACAATTTTATTTTTCACCCATTTGAAAAAAAAAAAATTAGTCTCGAAAAATATAAATTCGACTTAACGAACGTTCCAATTTCACTTATTTGTCGGGACGGAACTCGTTAATTGGTAGAGGTGAACCAGTAATACGAGTTTGTTTATTTACAGTAATACGAGGTGTGGTATCTGCCTCGATTTTTGGAGGTCCGGGTTAAGGCCCCGGTGAAGGCGGGGATTTTTTTCCCTTTGACCTCTAACAATTTCCCCTTGTCTCTGGGTAGTAAGATGGGATGCCCGTGTGTATTTCTGAGCAGGTTTAAAAAAATCCCTTGGCATTTGGAAATTTAAAAAATTAGCCTTACGGCACTGCCCTTGCAAAGTCTAGAGTTAAAATGTATCAAAAGTATTTCAGCATCCCCACCGGGGCTACGGAGTTCGTGCACTGCGCTAAAATTCTTCGAACTCAGGCTTGAGTTAGAAATAGAACAGAACACATGGGTTAATACCCTGGTGCCATGATGTTGATATGTTGTATAATCCAAACTTAAATTTCCATGCGAAGCAAAACTGTAACAAGAATTATTCGAATGCCGTAAAGTTTCATGTAGATTTTGCTCAAAACCGTGGCTTCTGTCTGTGCATTTTATTTCGCTGAACTTCGTTACTGCTTTCTGTCTGTTTACTTATATTCAATACTCAATGATCCTAATTGCTTATAATATCCTGACGTCTACAACGTCTAACACACATCATCGTCTAAATATGATAATAAATCAATTACTGAAAAACAAAAAAAGTTGTAATACTATAAAAATAGGATATGTCTGCAATTTAGACACATTTCTTAGTCTTATTTTATTTCCTTAGTCAAACAAAGTGTGCAAGACTCATCAATGATCATTTCCATCAACACATTATGCATAAATCTCTAGATGTAATGGTTATTGACAAGGCTCCCTGTATCTTAACTTAGCTTTCATGTGTATATATAATTTGTTTATGTGTTCAAAACCTTTTCCAAAAAAAGTTTAGTAAGTATAAACTGTGTGTACAAGTTGTGTGTAAAGTGTAATACATTTGTTGCCCTTGTAAGTGTATTGTTTATTGATGTCGCGGTGTGATGCCTGATATTGTCCAATTAAAGACAGATCTATGTACACGACAGTCTTGTTTACATTTTGTGGTGAGAGAAGTTATTATAATGGGAAACAAACTCATAAAAGATAGAGACGGACAGTGACGAAGTAAGAAGAAGGGCCGTTCATTTTAATTTGGGTGTCTGTCCTGCTGCAAAAAAAAAAAAAAAAAAAAGAAGAAAGAAAAAAAAAAGAACATTAGGCATTCAGACATGTGACGACCAGGAGAGTGAGTGAGTGAGTGAATGCGTGAGTGAGTGAGTGAGTGACATTGCAAATAACATAGACAGCGCACTAAGCCATTAAAACCCCATGATTATGCGAATGTGTGTGTGTGTGCATGTGTGTGGGAGGAGCGTGTCTAAGTCACTCGTTGCATCACCTCGATAGTAGTCACTTCCTGTTTTCTAAACACTTAGCAGATTTTTTCGTCATGATTTATATTTCAATGATCTCAATTTGTATTTTAATTTGTCTTGCCGATGTTGATCACTTTAGTTTTGCCTGGCTTGTTTTTATTCTTCTTGCCATTGTATTGAGACGGCAGTCCATTCCTTACATCTTCATTGTCGTGTTTTTTACTCGTGGAATCGTTGTAATTGACATTCGTCTTGGGCGTAGGCTCGTTGTCTGCTTCTGCTAGTGGGGGCTTCTCTGTTGGAGGCGTCTGGTGTGATAGTGGTGGAGGGGCTGACACTATTATATGTGGGTTGCTGTTAAAGAGGGAGTTCGGATCTTCCACCTTGGAGAAGCTTTTGGCCTGTTTCGTGGGGATATCTGGTGAAATACAACGGTGAGTTAGGAACTTAGTTAAAAGGGTTAAAGGGAAAAAGTGTAATGTAGAGTAAAATATACCATCTTACTGGAGGTTAGTCTCCTGTAAGAAAAACTCCAAAGGAGTGCATGTACAGCAGGGGTCCACCGATCATCAGTAAAAAGATCCCTCGTCGTCAATTGTGTCCGCCCGTTACCATTCATTATACAATCTCGGAAGGCGGGCCGACCTGGGTTATGACTTCCAGTCCCTGTACAGTATCTGATGCTTGAATGTCGGTCCGAAGTTGTAGGCTTCGAATCCGCACAGGAAGGATTTTAAAAAGAAAAAGTGACATTGTCATCCAGGTCGACGAAGCCTAAAATGCATTCATTCAGCGTCCTGTATTTCCATTATAAGTAATACAGGGCTCATGTGGAGCACGTCAAAGGACATGAGTCCATATCCCTGACTAGACTGATGGACATGGGGGTGCAGCCTGGAGCTGCAAGAAATGAACATTTTACTAAGAGGACAAGACGTCTCATTAACCAACACAGAACAGGCGTCATCAGTTGTTTTACACTTGTGAGCTTTTAAGGAGGAGATCGGAGCACATATGGATCTGTCCGGAGTGCTGTGATGATAATCCTTTCTAATCACTAATCACAGGGCTCACAGTCTATCTCTCCCTCACGTTCGGTCATGTGTCATCATCCCCATCATTCACAACTTCTGTCGTTAAGCGCCATGGGAAGGAATCATTTGCGATCCTGTGCACGTTGGCAGCCACTGGCTATTGTCATGCCGTGAAGGCGTAGAGTGTCTTTAATGTTGTCGATCAATGTTTCGCGGCTGTTTTCTTCCTCTTGTAGCTGAACTTCCGAGATGTAGTGCTTGCAGTGGTAGTATATCCTACGTAATGACTTCAGTATCGAGGATGTAATCTAGTACTGCACTTTTGGCTTTTTTTCATTAACGTTTGCCTTAGGGTTCCCATAGGACGTCCTCGTCCTACAAGTTTCTGTAGCAAAACATATTTTGTTTATAAAGTCATGAAGCTGGCCGCCACGTCCAACCCTTCTACTTTCTCATGCGACTTTGGGACCGGCATTGGTTTACCAAAATGCGTACCAAGGAATGTTCACGGAAGTAAAGGCAGCTGGACAGATGTTTGCCACACCAAGTGCGAATACGTATATTTAAAAATAATAAGTCTAAAATCACAAACCTAATGGTCATAGTTGCTCACAAGGTCCTTAACTGTATTTACTGTTTATTATAAATACAGTTGATTCAGAACTAATAATTCCATAAACGATAAACTGCATTTCTAGTGCCAGACTGTTTGCATTAGCACTTCTGGCGGCTGTCTTAAGCATTTAATGCGAATTTATGCTACTGGCTTTGTCTGTGTCAATTTTTCACAGCTGTCAGTAATGGACTGTTTCTGTGATTTTCGTTGGCACAGGAACGGGTAGCGGGGGCCGTTTGCCGTGAAGTTAGAACTGCAGTTATATACATGATTACCTGATTACTGACGATAAATGTTTTGATGACGCAGAATAAACAAATACATAATAAAGCAGTTCCGTACGCTTGACCAAACAGTTAAGAACGCTAACTCTCCCTTCAAAGGGAGACCCATAGTTGGATCTTCGCTAAGGGGTTTTCTTTCTGTAAATGTGTTGGGGTTTAATCCAGGACCACCTCCTTGGTAAGCAAGAGCACTAGCCAATATGTCACCCAGATAAAACATAAAATTATGCTCCAATGAGAGATAAAGTAAAGAAGAAGAGGAAGAAGAAGAAGAAGAAGAAGAAGAAGAAGAAGAAGAAGAAGAAGAAGAAGAAGAAGAAGAAGAAGAAGAAGAAGAAGAAGAAGAAGAAGAAGAAGAAGAAGAAGAAGAAGAAGAAGAAGAAGAAGAAGAAGAAGAAGAAGAAGAAGAAGAGAAGCAGCAGCAGAAGAAGAAGAAGAAGAAGAAGAAGCAGAAGAAAAGGAGGAAAAAAGAACGAGGCGGAGGAGGAGGTGGATGAAGAGACAGAGGATTTGGAAGAAGACGAAAAGTAGAAGTATGACATATTTTACCTTTCTCTTTCGGTTTCTTGGGCTTTCTGTTGAAAATAAATGTTAAACTTAGAATGTCTCTGAGAGCCTTGTGACACAGTTATATAAATATTAGAATAATACTAGATAACATATAAAATTTATCACAACAAGGGAATTGCCACACTGATTATTCAGTAAAGTCTGGAAGACCGAAGCATTGCAGTCAGATTGGAGATAAGAATATTTTATGAAGCTGCCGCAAAAAAAAAAAAAAAAAGGTGATATTAAGAGTGTTCAAACCTTTGAGGAATTATTTGTTGCGGTCAGTTCCAGAAAAAAAAATATATTCCGTCGGAATATTTTGGAAAGATTAAAAGATGCTGTTGATAGAAAGCTTCTAGAGGAACAAGCAGGTTTTCGGCTAAGCAGATTCTGTACTGACCAGATAGCTGAACTGCACATAATAATAGAGCAAAGCATTGAACTGAAACTCACTACTTTACACTGGATTCACAGAATGTGAAAAAGGTTTTGACAATATTGACAGAGAATATTATGGAAAAGGATGAGGCACGATGGGATTCCATAGAAAAACATTAACTGTAAAAGCAACATACAAAGACATGAAATGTAGATTTATTCATTCGGAAAGCTGATGGATTCATATAAAATAAGAATATGTGTGCGACGGGGAAGTACACGTATTTTGTCGCCTTTTCTATTTTTACTGGCAGCGTCAATGGCAAAGGCGTTGCGAGCCCGACTCGTAATTCCAACATACCGCGATCGAAACCCACAGCTGGCTGCATAGATTTTTATCATGGTATGGGGCGTCACAGGTCGACCCAGCCTAAAATGGGTACCAGGATGTAAGTCCTGGGGAAGTAAAGACGCCCGGCGTAATGCTGACCACATTACCAACCTAGTGCCGATTGGTCTGTAAAAATATGGTATGCTCTTCCCATATGCCCGATGCACCTAAAGGCGTGAAAAGGGATCTTTACTCTATTTACTTTTACCTATTTTTACTGGCAATAGAGTCGATTTTGAAGACGGAAAAGGGATTCAGTGGACTCTTACACAGCAGCTTGATGACCTGGACTTCGATGATGATATTTATCTCCTATCACATTCACGGAATCAGGTGAAAGTTAAATTAAACATACTTAAAGTATTATCACAAAAACTGGGTCTTTAAACCAGCCTGGAAAAAATCAAAGATAATGAGAATAAACCAAGCATATAGTAATCTGGTTTTTCTTAACGGTATCCGGCTCCGAAGTGGAGTCGTTCATCTATCTGGGCAGTGATGCAGTTGAGGCTGAGGACATTGTCAGAGATATTAAAATGCGAATCCAAAGGCAAGAGGAGCTTTCAATGCACTACAAAACTGGTTGAAGTCAAAAAGAAATTAAAGCTAATAAACCTCATTTTTTTAAATTCTAATGTCAAAGTAGTCATGCTGTGTAGAGCGGAAACACGGAGAACAACTAAAACAATAACTAATAACCTGCAAATATTTATTAACTGGTGCTTGGGCAGAATAGACTGAATTAAAGGGTATGATAGAAACACTGAAAGCTGAGCTTAGGCTGAGAACGAAACAAGTTAGAGTAGACCAAGAAGTGATGAAAAGACGCTGGTGTTGAGAAAACCTTAGAATAATATAAATATAATGTCTGAAAGTCTTTGCACTGGAAGCCACAGGAGCATAGAAATAAGGGAACAAAGAAAAAAGAAAATAATGGAGAAGGGATCAAGAAAGGCAGTTAAAAGGATAGGGAGGACATGGGAAGAGCTGCATACAATAGAAAGCAGAAGCCTTCTACGACATTCTTTTTTTTTTTTTTTGGGGGGGGGGGGGGGGGGGGGTTATTCTTTATTCTTCAAAATGGAGCCCTCGAACCCACAAGGAAAAGACCATAAGCAAAACAGTTCACGTTATTCAATTTGTGACCACAGGTTTTATGTTTTTCTCTCTATGCTTTTTTTCTACAGTTAGTTAGGTAACTAAATTACTGTCCACTTGTGGGGTGCAATTTTTCGTTATTTGAAGTCCCACCCTGGCTTTTGCCGGGAGCCCTGAATAGTGTGGCCATAACGGCTGAAAGGGATTTCTGGGACCTCTCCACGGGTGATCCTCATCCACATGGTGGCATTTTGTGTCACCGGGTGTATATCACTCAGTGTGATGTCCTGGTGAGGTACAACAAGCAAGCAAGGTAATTAAAGGCCGTTTTTGACGACATCGTCGTCGTCTTCGTTGCCATTGTCGTCCTCCTTTTTCTTCTTCTTCTTCTTCTTTTTCTTCTACTTCTTTTTTCCTTATTTCTTTTCTTCCACTATATGTTTAGTTAGGCTGCGATTTCTGCACCTTTCGATCAACACATTTTATTTCAGCACATTTCTTATAAGTAGCTTTTTACCACATGTATGTTTGGAGGTTTTGGGTCTTGTTATTTCTGTGTCTTTGTTTTTCTCTTTGTGTCTACCCTATGCAAATTGAGGCTTCAACATCAATACATTTTTAAAAAGGTGGTATAATAAAGACAGAAAGTAAAAGAACCCTTCCACTCGATATGTTTTCAAGAGGTGAACCTTATCACACGCTCAGCACGTACAGACATCTCTAGCACTCACGATTTTCTATTGCAGCAGTTCCTATAGAAAAGGCACGTCAGAAGCAGCACTAGAAGCACAAGTAGCAAGAGCCCCAGTAACACAAAGACGGCAATGCCTGCAGGAGTTTGGATAAAGGCATCGAAGTTACTGCCAGTCTTCGTCTCCTCATAAGGCTCAACAACGGACACGTCTGCAACTGATGGATCGGACAGTCCCGCAACTGGAGTACCATCGGGGTTGCTTTGGAGAACCTAGAAAAGATATAAAGTTGGAAAATAATTTACAGTGTAAATGTGACAGTTTCTACTTCGTCTTCTGTGGCTTTGGCGTTGTGAACGCGCTTCGTAATGCCGGGATGCCATTCTTGATCTCAGCTGCGGGCCTTTCGCCTTGCGTTGGTATTTACAGTGGCTTCGGGAAGCCGACCGTTTAGAAAGCAATGGAAAACTACTGAACCTTAATTTGCCTAGAAAAACCCCAAGGATAAAATATTATGGGGGTTGGTTCTGCAACGTCCTGTGAAAAGATAGGCAACCCACTTACAAGTTCGTTTGCCCGTGCTACTGCCAACTGCCAAAGTCTTTCCAATAAACCAGCATTTCATTGATAAACTGGTCCTTGAGGTGGGCGCTGAATTTGCTACCGCAGCTACTATATATATATTTCATAACCTCAGCACCTGCTGCAGCAAAAGTCCGAGGCCTGGAAGCCATAACCCACGTCGGCCCTCTGCCTGAGATTATTTAAGGATTTGAGCGGGCCGAAAAAAATAGTTGAAAGAGGGGCACCTACTGAAGATCGGTAGACTCCTGCTGTACATGATCCCCCTGTGGAGTTCTTATATTAATATTATTGCCTCTATGGCATAGCTGCTAAACGCCTGCCTCAGGCCCAAATTTCGTTGGTTCATATCCGCCACGTCGATTAAGCCCAACATGAGTATTCGGTAATGTCATGGGAAGTATGACAGCCGGTATTTAAATGAAACATTCCTAAAAAAAGTCGACTTTTACGACATGCTTTTTAAAAAGGGCAAGGAATCTATTATTCCCCCTTCCAAAGTGGGGCCTCTGAACCCACATGTGAATGATCCCATCTGACTCAATCCCTTTACGTGAAACAGCCAGCTGCCTGAGTGGCACAAAAAGTACGAAGGTAGCTCATACGGATCTACGTAAAGACTGCACCACTTAACCAAAAGGCACTGTCAATAAAACGAAACTACTACAATCAGAATATGAGTCGTCCGATCCATTCACAAAGTCGCGAAGACATCTTCTACTAAAAAAAAAAAAAAAGGTGCTGTAGCAAATAATTGCTGTAATCATATCTTCCATTACTGTATATTCTTCTTCTGCCTTTCTTACCCCCAATGGAGTTTAGGCCCAAACCAACGCAAGGTCGTTCTATCCTTCGCTATTGCATGCAGCTCTCCCCATGTCCTCCCCATACACGGTATATTATCATCCTCTATGATATATATTCTCACAGTGGAGTTTAGGGTCTCAGCTGTTTCTAACTGTAGACCATTTTTTTTCCAAACTTTTCCAGTTAAAAATTTTCCACGCGCCCCAACCTAAGTAAAAGTATTACTATTCGTAAGTAAGAGATTAAAAAATAAAACTCGTGTATCATCGAATATTTCGTGGAGCCTCTGTGAAGAGGTCGCAGCTCCCGGGGGCACCGCGGCACACAGTTTGAGAATCACTGCTGTAGACGATTACGGTTGATTGATTTTTGCCGTTGAAGTTTTCTGCTTTGGTAAATAGGTCTTCAGAGGTTGTGATGGATATATATTGTCTAGTACTTGGATTAGCGAAATTGGTGCAAAATATTTTCGACATTTGTACAAAATGGGTGCAAAAATGAGCGCACAATATTTTCGACATTTGTACAAAATGTGTGCAAAAAAAGTGCACAATATTTTCGACATTTGTACAAAATGGGTGCAAAATGCGTGCACAGTATGCTCGAAATGTTTACAAAATGATAGGTAGGCAGGTAGTTGCATCACATCAGGACATTAAACATAGTGCCACCATGCGGATGAGGATCACCCGTGGAGAGGTTCTAGAAACCCCTTTCAGCCGTTAGGCCATATCTATAGTCTAGACCATATCTATGCCCTGGCTATATTCAGGGCCCCTGGCAGAAGCCAGCGTGGGGCTTCAAATAACAAAAAAATTGCTTCCCACCTGGGGACGACTTATATAACTACATTTTAACATAATACAAAATGTTAGGTAGATAGGTAGTTATACTCCACCAAGACATCACACAAGCGATAAACACCTGGTGACACAAAGCGTCACCATGTGGATGAGGATCACCCGTGGAGAGGTCCCGGAAACCCCTTGCAGCCGTTAGGCCATATCTATGCCATAGCTATATTCAGGGCCCCCAGGAGAAGCCAGGGTGGGGTTTCGAACAATGGGGACGTCCACTATAGCAAAGTATGCAAAATGACTGACTGACTGACTTTCTACCCCACCAGGACATCACACAAGCGATAAACACCCGATGACAGAATATGCCACCATGTGGATGAGGATCACCGTGGAGAGGTCACAGAAACCACGTTCAGCCTTTATGCCATATTTATGGCTGGGCTATATTGCGGCCCCTGGCAAAAGCCAGAGTAGGGCTTCAAAAAACGAAAAATTTCATCCTAAAAAGGACGAGAGGTACAGGATTTACAATAGTGCAAAAAAGTCGACTGACTGACTGACTTTCTACCCCACCAGGACATCACACAAGCGATAAACACCCGATGACACAAAGTGCCACCATGCGGATGAGGATCACAGTGGAGAGGTCCCAGAAACCGCGTTCAGACATCTGGCCATTTTTATGGCCTGCCTATATTGCGGCCCTTGGCAAAAGCCAGAGTGGGGCTTCAAATAACAAAAAATTACATCCTGAGAAGGACGCAAATAGTATATATTATGAAGGCATAATATGTTTGAAATTAGTGCAAAATAGGTGCAAAATGATTGCATGATATGTTCGTAATGTCTACAAAATGGATAGACATCGATCATGTACAAAGTTTTGTGAAACTGTTTCACTGGCAAAGTAGTAGCAAACCACATTTATAAATTTCCCAATTAAAATTTACCCCACCACTATAGGCTTCTATTCGCCTAAGAGACTTAACGTCAAACACAATTTTAGCGAATATTTTTAAATTATGTCCCTTGCCCTTTCCAGCCTTTTCTGACTAGTATTCATTCTGGTGATCATACGAGTGTCAGAAATTCAGTTGACCAGACATAAATGCAATTTCTCTCGGAAATCTTCAGCTAAGGGATTTTATGTAATAATGTTCTTATTTGAAGACTTTTATATTCATATAATATGATGACGAACGCTCTCCTGCCGCAACGTTCACTTGCTTATTTTTGCTATACTGTGAAGCTTACTTATTCTACTTATTCGTTTGGTTTGATATCTTTTTTAAATACTTTTTTTTTCAATTTAGTGTTGTTGATTCTTCCCCCCTTTCACATTATTGTTTCTCTTAGAAAGATGTTAACTTTGGATAATTAAGTTAGTTATACGTCAGACACATCTAAATACAGGTTTTTGCCATTTTTGTTTCTTTATGGCTGTTTTGTGTAACTTTATCACTTTACTAAATTTAGAAAACTGAAAATTGTGGATGGAGGTGAGAATAATCGCAAGGTACCCCAGCCTACAGGATCCTGCTCCCCTTGGTAAAGATACATATCTTAAAATACCCATAACACTAAACACATCGATTCTGGTGCATGTTTAGAAGTCCACTAAGCAAGGGGGAAAAAATTGTTAATACAGCGAGTCTTTACTCACTTTGAGAATCTCTCCTTCGGACAGAAATTGTTTAGCTTTGTTGATATTTGCCATGTCATCAACGGAAGTGTCTTTCACCACGTAAGTATATGCTGCAGATCTGAGACAATAAATACATGGGAAATAATGAAAATGATTCAAAATAACAATTTACGAATCTAATAGCACCTTCTAAGTCCATTAGTGCATCAAGCTTTTGATACTAGACCCTGTGTTTTATAGATCAATCAGCATTCGATGTATAATGTAGTCCACATAATTGCCAATTTTACTTCCCATTATATTTCCTCGAACTGATTTCAGGTTTGTCGACATATGAGCCCTGTGTTAGCTTTGAAAATCAGAATCAATGCATATTCGAAATCAAGGTCTTTATGCAGTCAAGCTACCGAAGCTTTCATTGGAAGTTATAGCTATAAATAAACAATGGTCTTTGGTTTAGGAAAATATATCGCTACTTGGTACTAAACACGCAACAAGGAGATAAAGTCGAAAAAGTGACAAATTAGCACTTATGGCTGTGAATAAAAATGGCGAAACCTCCGTTGTGGATTGTACATTCCTTACCCTCCGTAGGCTATCGCTGAAACCAACAGGGCGTGCCTGTTACAAGTGCCACATATACCTTCTCCGGATGTTGACCAAATGTTTCTGGAACTGAAGGAAGGTTTTGCTACAAAGAGTGTGAATTTTATAATTTCAACGTATCTTACCATCAGGTAGCAATTCCAAAAGGAATAACGGCACTTACCTTACTTTCAAGAACTGTATTTGTTACTAAAAATTGTTCGGAAACCGAGTTTCTTATTTAAATGGAGCAACTTTCTCCATAACAGTCATTGTAAAACGGATTGATCCATTTCTAATTCCAAATGTCTGTTTATATATAATTTTATAATAAATGTGTACAGAAAACACTGGAACTATATAAGTCTTCTTACTAAATAAATGAACACAATGGGTTCCCTGTATGGGTTCCGGGGCCCTGTTATGGGAAAAACAAGATTAGACCTACCCACAAGTGTGTCGTAGGAGTCGACTAATTGGGAGCTACCTTCAAAGTCGGAGTGCATCCGCCTGAGAGGCAAGGAACCAGTAGTCTGCATACACATGAGTCAGATCTGTAAAATGGATCCACACGCAAAGATAAGGTTCTGAAACATGACTGCAGTCCAGAAGTGGATGAACAACTAGAACTTGCTGCCAGAGTTTACAGCTGGTGAACGCGAAGAAGAAGAAGAAGACAACGGCTATATAAATTATCAACGTAAATTCAACTTCTCTTCAAATATAGATAGAGAACATCTATCGTAAGATCAAACTGACTAGAAAGGGTTAGTTCAGAGCTTTAACTGTTTTAAAATGTCATCCTCTTTTAGGAAGCATTAGATAATTCGGTTTTTTATTATTATCGTACCCCCAGATAATGTCACAGGACAGTCCAACATGCTAGAGGGTAGTAAGACTAGGTTTCTTAGCTTTCTGATGCTTTTAACGACCCCCAAAACATTTAGAACTGGCTCTAACCTCAACCCACCTACGTACCACGAGAGAGTGCAACCTAGGTTCCACGACTGCATGCAGCCTATCTACCACCCCCTGAAATATCAGACTATCCCGTGACATGTGGATTTTCCCTGTTTGGGGTAGGATATTAATAAAGCTCCGATAATTATCCTTCTGGTCTGCATTGTCAAGGATGCTTTAGCAATCAGGAAACTTGAAGCTAGTTTTCCAGAATTCTTTTAGTGTTGTTCACTAGAGGCTTTTTCAAACTACTTCTGTCTGAAACACTGCTCTGATGATAGGGTGTCTTAAAGTTCCTAGTGATGTGCTGTCAAATGTCGTGTTAGGAAGCAGAAAATTCGCTGGGGTAAAAGCAAATTCTTTCATCAGCTTGTCCACCAAGTCTGGCGGGTGAGCAAAGACACTCTCAAAGATAATAGACGAAGGACACTGTCAAATGTAATAAAGAAACCACACTGTAGAAGGTAATAAGGAAAAGACACTGTTAAAGATAATTAAAAAAAAACAGTCAAAGGTTGTGAGGAGAACATACTGTCAAATGTAATAAGGAAAAGACACTGTCAAAGGTAATACATAAAAGACACTATCAAATGTAATAAGAAAAAGACACTAAAAAAGGTAATGAAGAAAAGACACTTTCAAAGCTAATAAGGAAAAGACACTCTTAAAGGTAATAAGGAAAAGACACCGTACATTTTAGCGAAAATCTGATCTTATCAGTCTTTTCTATCGCCATAATCCCACTACAACATAAAGTACAAGATTAAGGAAAGTGTTCAAGAACCAAGGTTATGTCCAAAACCGAGACTTTGTTTTCTCCAGTATTTTATTAATTGTTCAAGAATGGAGTCGTTCGAAACCTGAAGCTCCGTTGTTACTTTTTGTTGTATTTGTTTGTTAAGTAGAGAGAAAAACCAACTTCTTCCCTTTTAAAATTAAAAAAAAAAAAAAAAAAAAAAAAAAACAGCAAAAATAAAATGAAATAAAAAAGACTTTTCGGAAAGATTAGTAGTTATAACTTGTAATAAATACAATTCTTTGGTTTAGAAATATTTACTTTTGAGCCAGAAGTCGTCGTCTTCGAGATGGCGTGCTGGTATCCATGACCACAGAAATGCCAACTCTCTGGGTCTCATTGAAGAATTCTTGAGTTCGTGAACGAAACTGTTCCCTGTTGGACATAGAAAGATTTTAAAATAAAAAATAACATCATAATTCCTTTGCCACTGTCATCACTATATCTTTTTATCAGGATGGAAAGAAAAAAAAAGGGTGGGGTGGGTGGTGTGGGAAGGAAGTTGCCATCTCCCCCAAAGGAAACTGACTGCAGGGGATAAGAATATCCACTAATGTATGTATGACTATTACGTGATGAGATCCCAGTCTCTTCAACGTCATGAATGTCCTACCACTATCCGAGAGCCGGGGAAAACACCCACTTATATAAATTCGGCATGAGCAAAACAGCTCTCTACCAGTATCGTCGTGCTGAACAGACTCCAGAACATGTCTTGCAAGACTGTCCTCTCTTGGCGGAGCTGTGAAGCAACATATGGCCTCACCAGCAGACCTGACAACTAAGCTTTAGGGAAACCTAAAAGACCTTAAGATGACTTCCCAATTTATGGCCCACGGTGGATTATGAGCATGACCAGAGATCGCTGAAGAAGATACGACCACCACTATACTGCTACTATTACTCCTGCTATAATAATAATAATAATAATATTAATAATAATAATAATAATAATAATAATAATAATAATAATAATAATAATAATGATAATAATATTAATCATTTTAAATTTTGTTATGCTCCTATCATCGCTATTACAACTGCTACTTTTTTCAACATTACTGCAACTACTACTACTATTACAAGGGCCATTACGGCTACTGCTATTATGATTGCTACTACTACTATTGCTACTGCTACTTCTAATACTAGCATTAATAATACGTTTACTGGTAATATAAAAACGACTACTACTATAATGATGACTCTACTACTACTACTACTACTACTTCTACTACTACTACTACTACTACTACTACTACTACTACTACTACTACTACTACTACTACTACTACTACTACTACTACTACTACTACTACTACTACTACTACTACTACAGCCTCTTATGCAAACATACACTTTGTCCATCCTGTCAGTATAGGAGTCTGTGAATTCAATAACTGCAATCTCGGTCGCAATGTTGAAAGTGTCAATCCTCAACAAAACTGTCTTGTATGTGGTGACGCCCCCGTCTGTCATTTCTAGCATGATCCACCGGTAGTACGTTACGTGTAGATCCAATGCGGCAATCACCGTCATAACACCGGTGTTTTCGTGAACACTATACAAGAAAGACACAATGGTAATCAGTTAGTAACTCAACATACTCACCAGTAAGGGACTACATGATACTTGGTAAGGGTTTTGTGGTGCTCCAGTATAACTGATATATAGCTTTATAGTTGAACGAGGAGAGAGGAAGTGGTTTCGTTTGGAGGAGTTAATTAGATAATCACAGTGTTAAATTCACTGCAAACGGGTTGTTCTGAATTAGTTCCCTTCCTGTGCCTTAGAAAACCAGAATGCCCCTGATTATCTCTTGCAGAAAACTTTAATTAGACTACAGTACACGTAATGCCAATAGTCTGCTTCTTGTCTGTCTTCTTTAGGTCCTCTTGTGCCACTTTAAGGTCCGAGTGGGATATAAGATTCTGCTTCTTTCTATTCAGGTTATCTCCAATGCAGACACATCACGTTGCTGTAGAGTTTCTCTGACGTTATTTTTCTATCTTGTTCTTGGTCTACCTTCTGCTTTTCGTCTGTCTCCTCTTGTGGTGGAGTGACGCACATTTCACAGGACGTTGCAGATCCAACTCTAGCATTTGTAGGATGGGTTTTGTTTTGGGTGGGGTGGGGGTGAGGGTGGGGGGGGGGGGTTACTAGGACTACCAGTCTGCATACAAATAAGCTAGACGTGTAAGATGGATGGGCAGACAAATAAGCCAGACGTGTAAGATGGATGGGCAGACAAATAAGCCAGACGTGTAAGATGGATGGGCAGACAAATAAGCCAGACGTGTAAGATGGATGGGCAGACAAATAAGCCAGACGTGTAAGATGGATGGGCAGACAAATAAGCCAGACGTGTAAGATGGATGGGCAGACAAATAAGCCAGACGTGTAAGATGGATGGGCAGACAAATAAGCCAGACGTGTAAGATGGATGGGCAGACAAAAAAGCCAGACGTGTAAGATGGATGGGCAGACAAATAAGCCAGACGTGTAAGATGGATGGGCAGACAAATAAGCCAGACGTGTAAGATGGATGGGCAGACAAATAAGCCAGACGTGTAAGATGGATGGGCAGACAAATAAGCCAGACGTGTAAGATGGATGGGCAGACAAATAAGCCAGACGTGTAAGATGGATGGGCAGACAAATAAGCCAGACGTGTAAGATGGATGGGCAGACAAATAAGCCAGACGTGTAAGATGGATGGGCAGACAAATAAGCCAGACGTGTAAGATGGATGGGCAGACAAAAAAGCCAGATGTGTAAGATGGATGGGCAGACAAATAAGCCAGACGTGTAAGATGGATGGGCAGACAAATAAGCCAGACGTGTAAGATGGATGGGCAGACAAATAAGCCAGACGTGTAAGATGGATGGGCAGACAAATAAGCCAGACGTGTAAGATGGATGGGCAGACAAATAAGCCAGACGTGTAAGATGGATGGGCAGACAAAGCTCAAGTTCTGGAATAAGACCCAAGTTTAGAAGTCGGTGAACAAATAGAATTTTCCAAAATAGTTCACAACCGATGAACTCTAAAAAATAGAACAATCCACCTGTGGTCCCTAACTGGTGATCGGCAAACCCTCGGGGTCCGCGGATCAAATTGAAGAGGCTTGTGATATCATAAGGGCAAGAAAAACTTAAATCATTTTTTTTTCTATGCTACCTTACAGCTGCTTTAAAAACTAACTGTACCTGGTCTGGCTAAATGGAAAAGAAGGAAAATAGAAATCACACGTGTCTAATATGGTTAATTTCTCAATCAGTGTCTGCGCATATATATAGATAGTCTGGTTTGCCGACTCTAGAACATGCAACATATAGTTGTATCTTTATATAAGTGGTCTTTTAAATTGTATTATATATGGACTAAAAATTGGTTGTTTGTTTATCCCATGGTAAAAAGTTTTTTTTTTTTTTTTAAACGGCTGAAAGTAAAGCTTACTACCTTTTTTTTAGAAATATCCAACGAATTCCCCCCCCCCCCCACCCACTCCTACCCCCACTCACACCCCACCACCACCCCCCACACCCACCCCACTCCAACCCCCACTCCTACTCTCACTCAAACTCCCCCCACCCCTGCCCCCCCCCCCAAAGAATAGCCGATGTATCTTTTTTTTATAATATATGTAATTTAAAAAAATGAAAACTTTAAAATCATATTTTAACCTCTCTTAATTAACAGTGTCTGTCATCACCCCCCCCCCCCAACCCCCCCCCCCAAACCCCCCTCACCCGCCACCCCCACCCCAATCCACTGACTACTCCTCTCATATTCTCTGAAGCATTTGAACTTCATCGCCTGACGATTTTTTTAAACTGACCTTAGCATTCGTGTCCACCAAGACTAAAATGGGTAGCAGGAATTGTAATGAGACGTAAATGCGGCCAGTGTAACATTAAGCACATCACCCATCGAGTATCAGTAATACTACTACTACTACTACTTCTACTACTACTACTACTACAACTACTACTACTACTACTACTACTACAACTACTACTACTACTACTACAACTACTACTACTACTACTACTACTACCACTACTACTACCACTACTACTACTACTAACACCACCACCACCACTACTAAAAAGACTGTAGCTACTGTCTGTTTTATCACCTTTTTAGGTCGGTGTAGACAGGGGGTCGTGTGTCTGAGGATTTAGTGCCGCATGGCTAGTGCTGTCGCCACGGACTGTTTAATTTTGCCCTCGCCTTTTTCAATACACCTATGGTGCTGTTTAATGAATTCTAAAGTTTCTTCTGTCAAACCACATCCCATAGGCCTCAGAAATTGTTCGGCCTGTTTTTAATCGTCCAGAATTCACAGCCGAATGTTAAAACTGGCTCTATATAGCATGCGGTAATTATCTTCCTGAACTGCAATGCCATGGATTTATTGCACAAAATGTTCATTTTATAAAAGGCTGTTTTGGCCTGACTTGTTTAGTTGTTTACCTCTGTGATATATCATCCATCGGATGTTATCCATGTGCCTAAATATTAAATTGTTTGTACTTGTCCTAAAATAACGTTTTTTGACTTTCATTTAGGCACTATTTTGTTTTCTTTGAAATCACCATTACTTCTGTCTTCCCAGTATTCAAACTGAGGCCCATTTTATCACTTCTGCCACCAACGTATCTGTCAATTGCTGTAGTTCTTTCTGACTTCTGACTTTTCGCCATTAAGACGGTGTCATCAGCATAACACAGGTTGTCTGTGTTATGACACCAACAACAATTCCTCGCATATACATTATGAATCTCTTTATAATTCACTGTTTAAAGAAAACAAAAAAGGTGATAGCACATACTCCCCTCTTTATGCCCTCGTTATTAATTTTTATAGCTGTTGTTTGCTATCAATACATTCTTCTTTTTCTTCTTCAGCATTTCGAGCTCTGACGTTCATTGCTGCAGATATCACGCGCGTCCATTAATCTCTCTTGTTAGCATTCTCTTTCCTGTTGGTGACATTTCGTTGTTGCTTCTCACTCTACATTCCCCGCTGTTTACATCTTTGGGTCCAGAGATTCGTCGTAAGACTCTGTTTCTGAAATATCTCTTTTAGTTGTGCCACCAGTACATGTTCTTTATAATTCGTAAATCTTTTTCGTCAAAATTAAACTTTTCCAGTAGTTTAGTTATTTCTTCATGTTTCACACAAAAAAATTGTCAATGAAGCGTAAGGACAGATCTTTCTTTTTTCCCCCTTCTACGGCTGTTTCCGATTGGGTTCTAGGGATGTCTATGGCACTGTTTGTACCTTTTCCTCCTACAGATCCACACTGTTTTTCACTAACTTCCAGTTTAATCTTGTCTCTTATTCTTTTCATAATAATTCTCAATAAGATTTTTGTCACATGACACAAAAGACGTATAGTTCGATACTTATGGCTCTCCATACCTTTGTTCAAATCAACACATATCGATCTACATGTGTCCGATGAATCAACAGTAAACTTGCCACTTGGTCCGTAAGGTAACCAGCTCAGCTGATTTAATAGGCTACCCCGGCGACTATACATATATCTAACTTCAAACCTCACAGTACCCGTTGCATAGTCATCATTTTCGTCTTGTCCCTGTCCGATAACTTCCGGTAAAGTGCAGCAGAAGAAAATCAAGGCCTGGGAGTCATGACCCAGGTTAGACCACCCTCTGAAGTTGTCTAGCAGGTTATGGGCCAAAACATTTGTTGACGAGAGATCTTCTACTGATGATTAGTAGAATCCTGCTGTACATGCTCCCCTGTGGAGTTCTTCTTATTATTACTAAACCGTCTACAATGGAATCGAACCGAGTGCTTGGGTGTTACAAACCGCCCTAGAAGCCCATAAGCCTCAGTTAAGAGTACCCTCTAATTACAATTCATTTTAAGCTGAACGAGCTATATGTTATTTGTCCTACGGGATTGCCATTCAGAGTGTGACATGTTTAGTCAAGTTTGCCCAACACTTCAGGTAACAGTACACGGGGGGTGTGGCACGTTTGGTCAGAATTGCAGGTAACAGTACACGGGGGTGTGGCACGTTTGGTCAGAATTGCAGGTAACAGTACACGGGGGTGTGGCACGTTTGGTCAGAATTTAAGGTAACAGTACACGGGGGTGTGGCACGTTTGGTCAGAATTGCAGGTAACAGTACACGGGGGTGTGGCACGTTTGGTCAGAATTGCAGGTAACAGTACACGGGGGTGTGGCACGTTTGGTCAGAATTTCAGGTAACAGTACACGGGGGTGTGGCACGTTTGGTCAGAATTGCAGGTAACAGTACACGGGGGTGTGGCACGTTTGGTCAGAATTTCAGGTAACAGTACACGGGGGTGTGGCACGTTTGGTCAGAATTGCAGGTAACAGTACACGGGGGTGTGGCACGTTTGGTCAGAATTGCAGGTAACAGTACACGGGGTGTGGCACGTTTGGTCAGAATTGCAGGTAACAGTTCACGGGGTGTGGCACGTTTGGTCAGAATTGCAGGTAACAGTACACGGGGGTGTGGCACGTTTGGTCAGAATTGCAGGTAACAGTACACGGGGTGTGGCACGTTTGGTCAGAATTGCAGGTAACAGTACACGGGGGTGTGGCACGTTTGGTCAGAATTGCAGGTAACAGTACACGGGGTGTGGCACGTTTGGTCAGAATTGCAGGTAACAGTATACGGGGGTGTTGCACGTTTGGTCAGAATTTCAGCTAACAGTACACGGGGGTGTTGCACGTTTGGTCAGAATTGCAGGTAACAGTACACGGGAGTGATGCAATTTTGGTTAAATTTGCATTTAACTGCATGCGGATGTAGTAGATTTGGTTAACATTTCAGTTAGCAGCACACACGGCGGGGTGTGTGGTGTGGGGGGGGGGGGGGAAGAGAACAGGCGAACGGACAGACTGATAGATGAATCTTACCTGAATGGGCTCATTGCTCTGTATGAGATATAACGAAAGGATGCGGTGTTTGAGGGTATGATGCCAAAATCTTGCGGCTCGAACGTGCACACAACATGATTCAGAGTGGCTGGATAAGGCGCTTCTAGAGAAATCATCGAATCATCAGTTTTGTATGAGGTCGATAGCTTTTCTGTTTCTTCAATGTCGATTATATTCCCCATGACCACAACAGTAACCGTTGTGTAGGGCCATTGCTCTTCATAGATTATGACATTGAAGGAAACAGTAGGTGTGGTTTCGTAATCTGGGACAGTTGCGATGGAGAGATGACCCGCCTGGTCAATGCTGAAGATCGGTGTTCCTGGTGATTGTATTGATATAGTATTGTTTTTGTTAACTGCATCGGTGTCACCGTCAGTGACCGAGATCGTGGCTACTATTTGACCGACTAGACTGTATTCTGGCACTGCTAAATTGAGATATGTGGTCTCAGGTACCGGGGGATTGTCGTTTACATCTGTAATTAAAATTACAGCAAACATATTCACGTCTGCAGCATCACTGATTGCTGAGATTTCTAGTGCATATAAAGAATATTCCTCACGATCTAGGGTTGAACTTACAACCACCTTTCCATTATTACCGTCCATGAGAACATCAAAAGCGTTTTTAAAGTTACCAGCTGTAATGCTGTATTTGGACACGGTTCTTCCGTCGTCCACTGTGATTACACCAACCAATGTTCCTACTGTTGCATTTTCTGCAATTGTGAAATTGTAATCAATTTTCAGACCCGTGACAATGGCTGGATTGATAGTAACAGTGATATTCAGTGTAGCGTTACGTGATGGTGTGCCGTGGTCTCTCACCTGGATCGTCAAAGGATAGCTCGCTTTCGCTGGCTGTAGATTTGCAGCTGTGGTTATTGTACCTGTATCGTAATCAATAGAGAAAAATCCATCCTCGTTTCCGGATGTAATTGAATGGCTAAGTTCACCACTGCGGCCATTGTCGAGGTCTGTAACTTGACAGTGGAAGACAATTGTGTTTATGGGATCCTTTCTCATAATTAGGATACTAGTTTTACACGTCGTGAGGAACACTGGATCATGGTAATTTGGATAAGTAGATATTACATTTACCAGAACAGATGTAGTGTTATCAAGGCTAATGGGGCTACCGGCGTCATAAGCTTTGATAACTAGCGTGAAACTGGGCGTGGTCAGTGCGTTCAAACGTTCCCTAGTTGTTATAATTCCCGTAGCTGGATTCAATAAAAATGTATTCTGGTTTATGGGGTTGACTAATTCATATGAGAGATTTCCTGCCGGCCCCGTGTCTAGATCATAGGCATTGACGTGGAAGATTATGGAGCCTATTGGCACTGAGTCGTGCACGTTCACGACGGTAGCACTTGTAAAAATAGGATAATGGTTGTTAGCGTCGTCTACCAGTATAACAACAGATGCGATGCCTGTTCGAGCTCCTCCATCAGTGGCAGTGACTGTACATGTGAAGTACCTCTTCACCAGGTAATCTAGCAAACCGTTGACTCTTATTTCACCTGTTTTGGGGTCCATCTTGAAAACAGAGCACCCGGCCATCGTTTGAGTAACTTCACCGAAAGATCCGTGATCGGCGTCAGAAGCCAAAACAAGGCCAACAACCGTGTTTGGCGGTGCAGTCTCGAGCACATGGAAAGTGCGCGAGTACTGATCATATTCAGGGTTATGTTCGTTTACATTTATTACAATTACTGTTAATGTGAAAGTCACTGGTGGGTTAGATGGTGTGGGGTTTGCTGCTGTAAACACTAGCGTGTGTTGTTCCATTTGTTCAAAGTCAAGATCCATTTTAATAATGACTGCTCCGGTAGTTGGCCTGACCAAAAAATAATTGCTGTTACTAGACAAACTGTATACGATACTGCCATTTTCTACTGCGCCCTTATCCGTAGCGTTTAGGTCGTAAATTTCCTGCCCACTATTCCGACCCTCGAGCACTGAAATAGTTGCTGAAGTAACTTTGAAAAAAGGAATTTCTCCATTCAGAACATAAACAATAATCGTCACTTTTGCTGTTCTTGGCGGATTTCCACCGTCATAAACTTTCACAATTATTCTATACATGTTAATCACTGGGTAATCCATGACGACAGTCGTCTCCAAACTCAAACCGTTAACTCTAAAAGTATTTGCTGGGGTTACTGCATCGATGGTTACGTTTACAGTTCCATTGGCGCCAAAATCTGCGTCGGTCACATTTAAAACAGTGACTACAAATCCGGACGGTGTCTTGTCGGGAATTGTAGCCACAATCACGCTTGGTTGGATAACCGGGTTATTATCATTGACGTCCGTCACGTTTATGTTCACAATTCCAAACACTGAATCGCCATTTTGGTTGGTGACACTAACATTAAGTGAGTAAAAGGACTTTGTTTCACGATCGAGCAACTTCACAACTATGATTATCCCGCTGTCTGGATCAAGTTGAAATGAACTGTCGTCGTTGCCAGACACTATATCAAAACGAAGCTTGGACGCTGTGCCGTTTTCAGATGCGTTAAGTGCAAACACTGTAGACCCCAGAGCAACATCTTCTACTAACACTGCAGAGTAGACGCCACCTATAGGAACAAACTGCGGCTTGTTCTTAGCCTTATCAATGACATTCACGATGAGCACGGTAGTGCCTTCAAGTTGCGGCGATCCTTTGTCCGTTGCTTTAACCTCCAACTGATACATGTCTTGCGCATCATAGTTCAGGGGTTTGGCTAAGGAAAGGAGGCCGGTGTTGTCAATTGTAAAGGTATTATCAGTATTTCCTGACGAAATACTGAAGGTAACTTCTGCATTGACGCCTTCATCTTTATCACTGACTGTGAATATATAAACAGGTCTCCCTGTGGGTAATGTTTCATCAACATTTATCTCAGTAACATCAGCGTAAAATGTGGGCTTGTTATCATTCTGGTCCATGACGTCCACTGTAAGATTGCCCGATGCAATCTGTCCACTATCGGATTTAGCTTTAAAATAATACACATACCTAGCCTGAAACTCTCTATCGTAATACACCATCAGTCTAATTTGCCCATTTGTCCTTGTAAATGTCACTCTGTTATCCTCGTTTCCTCTGGAAAGTTCAAATTCAACTCTGGGAAAGGCGCAGCACGCTGCGACAGTGAAGATGAGACCGCCTGGTTTTCCTTCAGTTATATTTATTGAGTTCGGTAGGTTGGTCATTTTGAGTTCTTGCTCTGCAAAGACGATCAAAGTCGTGTAAGTAACGTCTACCCCTGAGGTCACACTGACATTCAGGGTATATTGCTGTTGGAGCGGGATGCTCTGAAGAATTACTTCCCCGGTTGTTGGGTCAATCTGGTAGGATCAGAACATTATATAGGGTGTATGTTTATTGAGAGAAGACTGTTTTAAATATATTATTTGCGGATCATAATTACATTTGTGTTCTACTTTATGTTTCAACGCCATGTAACCGTTAGTTTATAATATCACTGCTATATACCAGGGCTTTAGTAATTGATTTTAGCTATAATAGTGCTACTTTTAAAGTGTGTATGTGTGTTTGTGTGCGTGTGTGCGTGTATATATATATATATATATATATATATATATATATATATATGTGTGTGTGTGTGTGTGTGTGTGTTGATCATGTATAACCTAACGGTGGCAGGTATTCGAATGTGGTTGTTCAACAATTTATGATAGATCTAGTATGTTTACTTGAGGACATAAAACCCGGCGTGAAGTGCGTGCGAGTGCCTTCAGAGTGCTGTACATCCTTTTCTGTTTGCATCCAACTAGACAGAAAATGCAGACAATACAGTCCGGCTGCTGTGGAAGCAGAAGTTCAAGCCTTGATTTTCTAGAATGCTCTAGATGGTGATGCTGTCATTTCACAGATGGGTCTGTAATCCGCTATGTTAGAAGCTCGTAGGCTCTGACGACACAGGGAGGGAGAGTTGTGAAGAAAGACTCTAGAGCTTTCGCTGTAACTACAAGTAATCTGACTATGGAAGTCATGGCTGTGACTAAAGCAGTAACATGGCTAGAGACACAGACTTTCACTAGGGCATCCTTTCTCAGGGACTCTGTGAGTATGCTCAGGAAGATAGAGAAGGGCTGGGTCCGAAGGCAGTGGTTGGTGGCTCTACAGCATTCACGGCTGACAAGGATTAGTTTTATTTTCGTTCTAGGATATGTGGGGGGTACAAGGAAATAAGCAAGCTGATAGACTTGCAGTTAAAGCTACTTAAAAAAAAAAGCAGGACAAGTCATGGACGAGGCTGATATACTGAATGCTCTAAGAGAGTTAAGACGTTTGCTTGAGCCATTTGAGAACTGAATCTGCAACCATGTTCAGACTGCAGAAACAACAAGTTAAACGGGGTGTCGCAAAGAAAGAACTCTACGTGGATAGCCGAAGAATAATAATAAAACAAAACAGGACTGGTGTCGTTAGCCGCTACACCCTGCGGGATTTACCGAAGATGGGATCCGAGCCGAGAACTTATAGACTGAGTGGTTCGACGTGCAATGAGGATAATCTGTTGACTAACTAACTAACAATTTTTTATGTCATTTCCTGATACAAAAGTGCCTCATCTTAATAATTTTAGCAACTTAACCAAAAAAATCGATAGTAAGCAGAGCTGCAATAGGCAAAACAGTACCCAAAATAAGATACACTGTAGCAGCATATGTTTGTTGTATTGACTCCGCAGGCGGTTATTACAAAAAAAAGAACGGCAAAATTTTCTAATACAGTCATTAAAATACACTCTATAACAATTAAGTTAATTAAAAAGTTAGTTGCGTATCCTTTGTAGAGCTAACATAAATTGTTTGTTTTTTCTTACCAACTTTTTCTCTTCCCTATAATTTCCTAACCCTTTAAAACCGTATCCTTTACAGGACGTCGCAGAACAAGCACCAGCGTATGTGTTTTGTTTTTTGTTTTTTTTTTAATTTAAAAAAAAAAAGGGGGGGGGGGGGGGAATGGGTCTGTGATTTCACTACAGCTTTCTATATCTGAACTTCTTCTGAGGTTCATTAATAGAGTATACACAAATGTTGAGTCCCTAAAAAATACATCTAAGAAAATATTTTCAGTCATTGTTAAATGTTGAAATAGCATTGGATGAAGATGTCGACGATGATTCTGAATCTGTCACATGCCGTCTCCACAACTAGACTGGATGCAATACATCTTCCAAACTCACAGAATTCGACAGCACCCCTATCTTCATTTCACTGACGTAGCTTTGGTTTGACGGTACAGTATGAATTGAACAGTGTTGTGGTAATTTTGTTGTTGTTGTTGTTGTTGTTGAAACAATAATTTGTAATTAATACGGCTAAAGAAGCTTACTTGCCTGGTGTTTACTTTCTTCCGTTGTTTTTCAACTGACAATTTCATTGAACTGTAATCTGTAAATTTGCGCTGATAGTAATGATAATGGTAATGACTTAATAATGGCGATAATGATCAAACCTATCCTTTGATTACCGAATGGATGCTATAAATTATGTTTTAAAGCAGGAAGAAAACAGCAGCAGCAGAGGAACAGAGAGACAAGGAAGTAAAAAGAAAAGAGACGGTCAAAGAGAAGGACGAGAGGGAGACGAGGGAGAGGAATAGAAGAAGAAGAATAGAAGAAGAAGAAGAAGCAGAAGAAGAAGAAGAAGAAGAAGAAGAAGAAGAAGAAGAAGAAGAAGAAGAAGAAGAAGAAGAAGAAGAAGAAGAAGAAGAAGAAGAAGAAGAAGAAGAAGAAGAAGAAGAAGAAGAGTGTATGTGTGTGTATGCGTGCGTGCGGGTGTGCATGCGTGTATGTGCACTGCTGACACAACTCAGCGTTCAGCGAAGAGTCGTAATGCAGAGGATACCATCACATTGTGGAGTGCCTGGAAATGAGAAAGCTGATCAACTGGCCGGAGAAGGTGCGACAAAAGTGCAGCCGGATGTACCAGTCACATACCACCAAAAGAAAAGAATCATTAATTCAATCAGGAAACCACCAGCCCCAGTCCAGGACGACTATTTTATTATGGACAGATCAGAACAAGTCATTATCCTCCGCCTCAGAACAGGGCACAACCGATTACGTTACCACATATACACAACATTCAAGATAGGTGTATCAGCCATGTGCACCTGTGGAAAGGTACCCCAGACAGCAGAACATGTACTCCACGACTGCACCGAATTTGACACATTAAGGCAAACCTTTTGGCCAGAAAGAACAACAGTGGAAAGTAAACTCTTTGGACCACTGAATGAATTAACAACGACAGCGAAATTTATACAAAAGACAAAATTGCTGATATAGACTACTTATTTCAGGCGAACAAAAGAAGAAGATCAGACCCATAACATAAATCTACAATACCAGAAACTTTAATAGGAATACACACAGTCACTTATCAGACGTACCTACGATATATAAATCACATTGCTGTCTGGCTACTAGAATTAATGGTTATAGTTATATATTTATATTATGTAGTTTGGCCATATATCTACTGTTGTTATGCTATTATATTATTAACAGAATGATGATATGGATATGCAAGAAATGATGGATATGGTCGTAACGGAAAGTGAAAACAAGGGTCTTAGTAAAAAAAAAAAAAAGAAGAAGAAGAAGATATGGTAAGTACAAAGAAAACTGACCCTCCAAAATGCAACATTTAAAATAATTGGGACAAACTCAAGCAAGAGGATATGTTTAAATACTTGAGTATCCTGATCAGATGGAAGCTGTATTAAAGAAGTTAAATGTAGAACAGCTCAAGCAAAGGCAGCATTTTACTAAATAAAGAAT